ATATATATATATATATATATATATATATATATATATATCATGTGAATCTCTTTGTTTCCCTTAAGTCTTTTCCTCATAGTAATAGTTATATCTGGATTTATTAAGCATTTTATATGACTAAAATTCTAATAAAATAATAAAAATGATCGAAACAAATTATTTTTGCTTTAGAAAGTAAATTATTTTGGCTACAATAATAATTACGTGCTCATACAACTTTTGAAAGTCAACAATCATCACCTTCAAATAGTTTTGCAAATCTCCATAATCCTCTTTTGCACTTTTACGAAAGCTTTCAAGTTCAACTTCTCTTCGAAACAGATTGAATCGAAATCATTTTCATCAGAATCGATTTTAGATTTTAAATGAAACGAATAATTTTCTGAAATTATAAAAATTTTTCGTTGCACTAATTCACCCCCCTCTTAGTGCCGCTCTTGATCCTAATAGAATTTATTCCAAAGAACAATAAAACATTTTAGAGAAAAATATAATGTTTTTATCCATGTTACATAATCTTCCTCCTCATCATTATTTCAACAAGACAAAGCCAAAGCCAAAGCAAACAAAATGATCACATATCTATGACATTATTATTATTATTCTTATTATTATTCTGGTTGACAAAGAGGCATTCCAAACCTCTAACAAACGTTATGATGTAAAGCAACAACATCCATCAGGTTTGCATGTCGAAAGAGAACCAAAGCGTCCGCATGGCCCGAAACAATCACCATCCGACTTGCATGGCACCCCGATAGATACGCAGGTTGCTTTTGGCTCGTTAATTGGGTTTTCTGTAAGTAAACATAATATTTAAGTAGCAATAAGAAGAAGTTAGAGAATCATCAACAGTGTTAACATTGAATTCAAATAATGAGACGGAAATGATCCTAATTAATATATACCAGTGGATGCCACAAGCATGACAAGAGATAAAACCAGGAGACCAACGATGAGAACAGATAGCTTAGAAGAAGCCATTTGTGATGGACCTGATGAAAAGAATATTGATGATAGAAGGTTGACGATTATAATAATATCAGGACTTTCGGAAGTAGCACTAACCTGGAGTAATGGTGTCAAGAGAGGCCATTAAATAGAACCTCTATGATTGCATGAGATTTGCTCCTTACTAGTTTTGGGTTTAGTATTATTTACAAGTATTTATTGAGCATATTTGAAGTATGATGTGTGAGAGATGATCCATTGAACCATAATTTGAAAAGCAAAATATTTTATTTAGATTTACTATTCTCAAAGTATATCTAAAACAAATATAGTAATATATTTCTATTTAACTTAATCATAAGTTGTTCCATCGATATTAGTTTTGATTTATTCCGTGATGCTTTTGTGAGTTTAGTTAGTATCCAATGAGTTTATCTCGACATATAATTTATAAGACCTGATACATTTAACCAAAGTTTTCTAAACAAAATCTCTTGTCCAAATTCACTCTTCCATATCTATATCAAATGCAAATAAACTAATATTACACTTGTAATTGGAACCATATCAAAATATATAGCATACATGCAGGACTCTTGGCTGCCTGTAAAACTAAGAGTACTGAAATCCATACCTTTACATTAAGAAGTCATAGTCTTCTACCAATAACAAGTTGCAACTTCTTCATTCTTTCTTTGTCCCATAGACTGTTGGCAAGTATAGTTTGTCAATAATTCATATCCATTTATTTATATGGCACAAACAAAGCTGTGTTTTAACTATTTCTTCTTCTAGTTTCATTTTCTAAGCATAAAGAAGAATTTATACCTGATCAATGTTATAGCTCAATTGCATAATTGAAAATTATTGACAGTTCAAGAGAATTGTTGAGCTAGTAATTCACTTCTTCGGAGTTTTCGGATGGAATATGAATAGGTGAGATATAATTAGTTAAAATTAACTCACCTTATTCATATGTTGTGATTTCTAATAATCTCGATTGGTTGATGTGATCTTTAAATTTCTTGAAATATGAATTTTTTAGGAAATTTTTGAAGATAATTTTGCTTTCACCCAATATAAGATTCATGAACTTAGGAGTAAGTAAGAAATGTCATGTGTATGTTGAAAGTATTGTGTGCGACACAAAGAGTGTTGTGAATCCGAAATCATTTTCTCTCACTTTCGGCTGCATCCTATTAAGAAATGGGCTCCTACAAACCCAACCCACCTATTGAAGAGTTCTTAAAAGCCTAAGCCATCCTATCATATATATGCCTTTGGAAAATCAAGTTTGACTCTAATGGTTTTGTTCTAATTTCTAGGATCAAATCATTGTCTTTAGAAAGCATTATCTTGTTGAGGATATTGGTTATCATCTAAAAGATATGATGATTATAAAAATTGTCTTTAACTTGTTAGGTGGATACAAAGTGAAAAGCCTGCAATGCATGATTCACAAGTGTGTTGAATGATTCATGAAAACTAGCATATGCTCTCTTCTTCAACCATTTCTATATTTCTTATCTTTCCTCGAAAGACATGACAAAACCAAAACCATGATTCATGAAAACTAGCAAATGCACTCTTCAACTATTTGTATATTTGGTATCTTTCCTTAACAGACATGACAGAATCCAACACCACATAACTTTAACTCAATTAGAGGCCCTAACATAGTGGCATGTTCAATATTTCAAGCAACTCCTCACATTTGAGTAGTGCCCAATAACTCCACTAAATCCCCACTAAATTATTTGGTAAACCTCCAAACATCTAACTTTATTTTCTATAACGTTATTGCTTTTACCAACGAAAATACAAAAATAATGGATAAAAAGATAATTTCAACATCTTAGTTATGTTTTTGATGGTGACGAACAACGGCGCCGTTAGGGGCCACAACAATTGTGTTAGTGCCGACGTAATTGTTGAGCGGTGCTGACGCAGATATAGAGCGACAAAATGGATGCTCGATATCTGCATCGATGCTGATGTAATGCAGAGCGACAAAAGGACGACGATCTACTACGAGATAGACGTGCCTTCCTTAGTTCGGCCTATGACATGTCCATCTACGATGCCAACCTCCTCATAGCTTATCACGTCCACCAGGTCACTTGTGCTGCTCACCACTCCTTCGACGTTGACTATCATGTCTCGGACGTAGGTATGTGGTGGGTCCACCACTTTTGTGCTTCCTATAATCTCGATCATGCTACCTCCCATTTGCATTTCGTGACCTCCTTGTCCTCTAGCTCTAACTCTTCACTTATGAGTCCACGCAACACCTCAGGCGAACAAGCCCATAGATCCTCTAGCTCTTATCTCTAGGTACTCAAATGAATCATACAACTCCTCTAGCATGATAGTGAACGGATCAAAGCAATCTAAATCTTATGGTCTCAGAAATTTTTAAGACAGATTTCACTGCTCGAACATGGAAAGAGATCAACCAAAAGATCAGGTGGGATCTCATCACACGCATCAGAAAATTGAACAAGTTGACAAAAACAAAGTCGAAAGCTACAGCTAACATTCAACAATGAAATTGAACCTCTATCCACGAAAAGCAAGTAAACTGCATTATCTCCATCGACAGAGTTACCTTTTCCTATATGTACTTCGTGTCCCGCAAACGCAGACGAAGCTAATTATCTGCAAGAAGACTAAATAAACGGAAAAAAGGAAACTTATCAAACAAAAAATATATTAATCTGATTTAGCTATAAAGAAAAGAACTTGGCGATGTTCCGCAGATCCAATCGAACAATATACGTAAATGAAGCCCCTGAAACGAAAGAACGGCCAAAGAAAAGAAGAGATGAGATAGCACTTAGCTGGGCCGCCATCAGAGAGCTACTCGGAGCAATTTATAGCTGGCAAGTACGAACCCTAAACCTCGAGCACTCCGGGAGGCAAAAACCTGACCGAATCTTGCCACGGGGAGCTCTCGGTGAGGAGAAGCTCGATCCGGCATGCTGCGGAGATTGTTCCGACGGGTCAGAGATCGAAACCTTAGCGGATCGAGAGGGGAGTGAGGAAGAAGAGCACGAGCATGATGCGTGGTAATGACAAGTCATCACCAGCTGTCATTCGACCGGAGCAGTTGGCTCTCGATCGTTGAAGTGTGACGACGTACGGCGCGTTTTATTGCACAGATCTTAAAGCGGGATTGCTTAATGATCGGGTCGTTCACAACTCCTGCATTGTGATCCGTGCGAGCGCACGGCACTCGGTCGCACTCATGGGTGTGGTGTATTTACTCAAGTTATTAATTTATTAATAACAACTTAATCATATTAAATACAATTTCAATTATTAATTTTAGCTATTAATATTTAATGTAAATATTTCATAATAACGGTTTAAAGATATTTTGATATGGATTATAATAAAAGAACGTACTTAAAGTGCAGCTACATTGGTTTTAAACAGTTTTACATGGGAAAAAAAAATTAAGTGTAAGTCAATCCAAAAATACTATGACATTGACTTTTAATTTGATTCGATCTCAGAAAATAAATCGATTCTGTTTAATTGAAAAAAGAGAGAAAACTGAAAATGATATAAGTATTTTACAGGGTAGAAATATTCCATGGTAAAATTTTGAAAATAAATAAACAAAATTGATGCTAGTTGGACAAGAAGCAAAGCATCAAAGAAAACGTTTTTGATTACCTCTAGCAGTTTAGAGACTCAGAACCATCATTGGAGGTAGAATTGTTCATAGCAGGAAGGTCAATATACCTGGACAATCAAAACAAGCAAGACTTCAATTAATTAGTAAAAAGTTGACAATTTGAGATGATGATTAACATAGATGAAAAAGGAGGTAAAACAGTGTGTACCAAAGCGTAATAACTCATCAAAACGAAAAATTTCCTAGCAAAATCTTATAGAACAATCAGATAGTCCATGTCTCAACAATCAACACCTTGACTTTGCTGGCCCAATAACATGTGCGTTGGTTCTCTTCAAGCTTTTACATTTGCTAGTCACATCCAAAGGCTTATTTCGTCATTTTTAATTCAAAGCAAAACACTGAGAAGCTTTTAGTCCAATTCTGCTTGTCATTCCACTAACTGTGTGTTTTTGCCAATTTCTTTAACATGTCCAGTAAAAATGGCTGAATAAGCATCAATCAATCAATAATGCCATTACATATAAGACCATGATAAGGCTATCCGTTGTAAAATAATGACAGATTTGAAATAATCACAAGACCATGATATAAATGACTAGCAAAATTCACTGAATAACTGAATTCCCACCTCTTCAGTCTGAACCCCTGCAAGATGAGGCTATCCAATGTTGAGTGCCACTATTTCTGTAGGTTGTGTCAGCTTGAGCCAGACAAGTAAGCATTATTGATTAGCCATTTTTACATAACTAGAACCAGATTATGAGGGAGTAACTGGTTTGCATTTCTACTGTAGAGACTCTAGGATCAGCCATTGACTAGCACTCAGCTGACAAAAAAATTTATGTTCTTCAATCAAAGAGAATTAGTTGCAGCAATTTACTCGATAATACTGAGTCCAACTGGTAGTTTTCACTGCACTGCTTGTGAATCTGCGATGAGTTGTCTGTTATCGGTCAGTATACCAATGAGCAATCCTAAGGTTCAATATGTCCATATGCTCACATGATCTATTGCCCATGTCGGCCATTGATTTTGAAATCCTGGGCAGAGAGTACTTGTAAGAATTCTTTGACTCTAGTCTACATAGACAGGTCACTTAAAGAAGCTAGGAGATGATATTTCACCTGAACCCTGTTACTCTCTCACACTACAATGTCAACGACAAATTCCAAATCCAAATTTTCTATTGACCCAGGATCACTCATTTGCCCAGTTAATGTATCCAACACCTCATATATCTCAGGTGCCAGGGGGTTCGACCTATCCCCCACTAGGAAAGGATGAAATCCATTCCCTAAATCAGCCCAAGCCAAACCGGGTGATTTTCTAACACCCGAGTCCCTCATCAATGTCCTCACCTTTGCAAGCTCATCCCAACATCCAGCAGCTGCATACATGTTAGCAATCAGCACATAGTGCCCAGGATTGTCCGTCCCCATCTCTAGGAGCTTCTTTGCAGCTCTTTCTCCAATCTCAGTGTTCTCATATACCTGGCATGCCCCAACAAGAGCTGCCCACATTGCAGCTGTCGGCTGTAGTGGAGCTTTATGAAGAAGTTCCTCTGCCTTTTTAACCAAACCGGCTCGAGCAAGTAGATCAACCATGCAAGAGTAGTGCTCCATCTGTGGCGCAATGCCATATGAGTCAGTCATCATTTTAAAGAGCTTATGACCCTGGGACACAAGTCCAGAGTGGCTACAAGCTGAGAGGACTGCCACCATATTTATGTGGTCAGGTTTGATCCCACTGTCAATCATCTGATTAAAAAGTTTCAAGGCAGCAGTTCCCTCACCTTGTATTCCGTAACCTGCTATTATTGAAGTGTATGACACCTGATCACGGTTGGTCAGCAAGTCGAAGACCCTTCTAGCAGCTAAGATTCTTCCTGACTTTGAGTACATGTCAATAAGGGAGTTCCAGAGTAATAGGTATCCCTTGAAATCATGTTTAGTGATGTAGCAGTGCAACTCTTGCCCATGCTGAAGGTTTGCAACACGGGTACATAAGGCGAGGTATGTCACGATGGTTACATAGTTTGGTTGAACTCCTGATTGTACCATGTCTCGAATTACAAAAGAAGCTTCCTCTGCTTGGTCTGACAGGCCAAAGCCGGCAATCATTGTATTCCATGTGACCAAACTCCTCATTTTGGCCTTTTGAAACAAAAGGCAAGCGTGCTCCATGTCTTTACATCTAGAGTACATTGTAATCAGTGCATTGCGGACGCTCTCAATCCCCTCACCGCAGCAACGAGTCGCAAACCCATGAATCTCTTTCCCCAATTTTAAAGATCCAACATGAGAACAAGCACTCAGACCAACGACCAGCGTCACAAAGTCAATCTCAGACCCATGCATGGTCACCTCAGAGATCAATCTCAATGCTTCTCTAGGATTGCCCCTTTGCAAATGACCACCGACGATTGTGTTCCACGTAACGCTATTCACCTCTGAGTTCTCCGCTCTCATCTGTTCGAACAATTGGAATGCTTTCTCCCACATTCCCCGTGATGCATACCCTGACACCATAGTATTCCATGACACCACATCTCGCTCCGGCATTTCGTCAAACAGCTTCCTCGCAAAACCTAAGGCGCCACACTTTGCGTACATTGCGATCAACGCGTTCTGGACAAAAATGTTCCACTCCATGAAGCTGTCATTAATTGACCTGTGCACTTCCTTCCCCAACTCCAGGTCGAGCACGACGCCACAAGCCCTAAGAACCGACGGGTAGGTGAATCTATCAGGCTGGATGCCTATCTGAACCAGCTGCCTATAGGCGAGGAGCGCATCGGAAGGGCGGTCGTCCTTCATGTACGCAGAGATCAACAGGTTCCAATGGAGAACCTCCAAACTGTGCGAGGAAAAGACGAGGGCGTGGGCATCCGGGAGGAGGCCAAACGTGATGTAGAGGGAGGTTAGCCTGGGGAGTAGAGAAGGGTGGTCATGCAAGCCACAAGAGAGGGTGAGGGCATGGAGCTGCAAGCCCTGACGGGCGGCCTTCTGGGAAGAGGAGCATGAGATGAGGGATGAGAGAGAATGGAGGACAAGGAGAGAGGAAGCGGGGTAGCGGAGACGTAGAAGGGAGAAGGCAGTGAAGGCGTCGGAGAGGTGGCCCTGGGCGGAGAGCGCCTTGATGGAGGAGATGAGGGATTGGTGGTGGTGGATAGGCGGAGATGCCTCTAAAGCTTCGGGTTCTGACGGTGCAGGTGGTGGTGACTGGGCGAGGAGGGGGAGGTGGAGGAGCGCTTTCTTCCATGGATTTGGGACGTGAGTTTGGGCTTGAAGCATTGCAGCACACCCGGCCATTGGAGTTTAAGTTGG